ACCTAATTAAACTAAAAATCTTCTGTAAAGCAAAAGAAATAATAATCAGAGTAAATGGACAACCCATACAATGGGAGAAAATATTTGCAAATTATGTATCCAACAAAGGACTAATACCCAGAATCTACAAGAAACTTAAACAAATCAATCAGAAAAAAAACCAAATTATTCCATCAAAAAGTGGGCAAATGACAATAGACATTTCTCAAAAAGAGTTATACAAATGGCCAACAAACATGAAAAAATGCTCAACATCACTAATTATCAGGGAAATACAAATTGAAACCACAATATGATACCACCTTACTCTTGCAAGAATGGCCATTATTGGACAGTCAAAAAACAACAGATGTTGGCATGGATATGGTGAAAAGAGAATGCTTATACACTGCTAGTGGGATTGTAAATTAGTACAACCTATACGGAAAACAGTATGGAGATTTCTTAAAGAACTAAAAGTAGATCTACCATTCGATCTACTCATCTACCAATCCTATTACTAGGTACCTACCCAAAGGAAAATAAGTCATTATATGCAAAAGATACTTGCATGCATATGTTTATTGCAGCACAATTCACAATTGCAAAGATGTGGAACCAACTAAGGACTCACTGACCAAAGAGTGGATAAAGAAAATGTGGTATAGGACAGGCGCGGTGGCTCACACCTATAATCCCAGCACTTTGGGAGGCCAAGGCGGGTAGATCACGAGGTCAAGAGATCAAGACCATCTTGATCAATATGGTGAAACCCAGTCTCTACTAAAAATACAAAAATTAGCTGGGCATGGTGGCGCACGCCTGTAGTCCCAGCTACTCGGCAGGCTGAGGCAGGAGAATTGCTTGAACCCAGGAGGTAGAGGTTGTGGTGAGCTGAGATCGCGCCATTGCACTCCAGCCTGGGTAACAAGAGGGAACTCTGTCTCTCAAAAAAAAGAAAAGAAAAGAAAAAGAAAATGTGGTATATATGTATATACTATGGAATACTACTCAGCCACACAAAAGTACAAGACAATGTCTTTGCAGCAACTTGGATGCAGCTGGAGACCATAATTCTAAGTGAAGTAACTCAGGAACGGAAGAACAAATAATGTGTGTTCTCACTTATCAGCAGGAGTTAAGCTATGGGTACACAAAGGCATATAGAGTGGTATAATGTCCTTTGGAGACTCGGAAGGAGGAGGATGGGAAGGAGATGAGCGAGAAAAAAAACTTCATGTTGCATACAATGTACACTACTCACATGAAAATCTCAGACTTCACCACTGTACAATTCATCCATGTAACCAAAAACCACGTGTACCTCCAAAGCTACTCAAATACATACATATTTTTAAAGGAGTCTGGGTTCAGAACCCCAGCTCTTAACCACTTCTCTATTATACTTCCACTAATTGACTTGTTTGTTTTGTTTTTGTTTTTGTTTCTTTAATAGAGACAGGGTTTCACCACATTGGCCAGGAACTCCTAACCTCAAGTGATCCATAGCCTCAGCCTTCCAAAGTGCTCGGACTATAGGCATGAGCTGCTGTGCCTGGACAACTTGTTACTAATATAATGTAAATATGGTACTCTTCTCAAGTTTGTGGATGACATGAAAATAAGAGTAAGAACAAGTTCATTACTTTATAGATTACTTATCAAAAAGCCTTTAAAAGACAAATAAATAGGAGATTATAACAAGATAGAATTTGATAGGGGTAAAAGGTAACCACCTGCATTTGCGTATAAGCAACCAATTGTACCTCCAGTGGCAGTACTAGTGCATAGCAGGTATTTGGTATAAACCTGTCAAATCAATATATGATTGAATTATAAAACAGAGAGAATCTATGAAAAAAGAGGCTGTAATATACCAAAAGCAAAAATGAACTTAATAAATAATGTTAGAATATGCTGATATATAGTTACGTTATCTAGAAAGTAGGTTAATGAGAGTCTTACAAGACTGTTGGTCCAGTTAGACTAATGCCAGTTATACTGTGTTAACTTCAGAGAACTATATGGTAAACTGGAACAAGTTTCAAGTGAAGGTACAGGACTTAAAGCTGTACTACCTGAAGTGCAACAGAAGAATGTTCAAACATTTGTGGAAAAAAGTAAACATGGTAGCAAATTTTAAAATGTAAGGTATTGTCATGAAAAAGAAGAATCATGGCTGGGTATGGCTGCTCACACCTGTAATCCCAGCACTTTGGGAGGCTGAGGCGTGTAGATCACTTGAGGTCAGGAGTTCAACACTGGCCTGCCCAACATGGTGAAACTCTACCTCTCCTAAAAATACAAAAACTAGCCGGGCATGGTGGCACATGGCTGTAGTTCCAGCTACCTGGGAAGCTGAGACAAGAGAATTACTTGAACCTGTAAGGCAGAGGTTGCAGTGAGCCGAGATTGTGCCACTGCACTCCAGCCTGGGTGACAGAGTGAGACTCTCTCTCAAAAAAAAGAAGAATCATAATTATTCTGGAACTCCCTTAAGTAAAACCAACTGACAGAAGCTACCTACAAGAAAACAAATTCAGTGTCAATATAAGGAAGACCTTTCTAACACATATGACCACAAAAGAAAAGGTAGGGGAAGAGGATATCTCAGAAGGGTGTGACTACCCTAAATCTGATAATAATAAGTCTATGAAAGATCAGACCAAATCAAAGATCTCTTTCAAACCTAAGAACCTACCATAAAATAGAAGGTGATAAGGACATCCTAACAAGTTTCATATGGGGTTAAATAGTAATGCTACTCACCAAAACAGACTTCAGATGATAAAATTTAAATGAAAGGAAAAATAAGAAAATAGAAGTTATTTGTCAAGTCTGTAAATGGGGAGAGCTTTAAGTCTAAAAGCACTGGAATAAAATTCAAAGAAAAAGTAACAAATTGGACTACAGAAATATTTAAAACTTTTACATGTGAAAAACATTAAAAGGCAATTAGCTGTGCAAATAGGACCCACAGATGTTTTGCTCTATATCTTTCATTTAAGGCTCTGTTGTCTGATATAGCAGCCATAAGCCATATGTGGCTATTTAAATTAATTTTAAATTGATTTAGACATTAAAAATTTAGGTCTTCAATTTCTCTCTAACTACATTGCAAGTGCTCAACAGCCACTGTGGCTAGGGGCAACTGAGTTGGACAGTACCGACATAGAACATTTCAATCACTGCACAAAGTTCTACTAGAACTTCAATATTTAAAACAGAATAATTTAATTCAGAAAATTTATTACATAAGGCAGTAGAAGAGCTGAGAGGTCAAACAGGGTTTTACAGCAATCCAGAAATTGACAACAGGGAGCCATTATCATCCCTAAGACTGAAGAACAAAGTCCAAGTCCAAAACCGAAGGTCACCTGGCAAAGGCTAGGACTGCAGTATGTGTCTCAGGTGAGAGTAGGAAGACAAGGATGAGACGCAGCCCCTGCTGAATATACATCATGATATTAAAAAATAAAATAAAGGAGGAGGAAGAAATACCCAGATTTCTCTCTTCTTTCTACCCTCCAACCTCCTGCCGGTATCTCCATGGCTGAGCCTATACAAAAGCCAGATAATAAAGGAGCCTCGGAAATGCAGCCTATAGGAGTCAGACCCCTGTTAAAAAGGACAGAGCCAAGAAAGAAGAAAGAAGTCTGTGGTCAAAGAAGCTAAGACATGGCAAGAGGGACAGAGGAGCTCTCCAGAGTCTCTTTCATAAAGGTACTAATCCCACGCTCATGACCTAATCACCTTTCAAACGTCCCACCTCCAAATACCATCACATAGGAGATTGGGCTTAAAATTCGCATTGGTATATGAATTTTGAGGGGATAGAAACATTCAGGGGATAGAGACATAAATAGAAAATTTAGGAAAAAACAAACAAAAGTAGCCAACATTTGAAAAATATCCAACTTTACCAGTACTTAAATATAAATTAGAACAATAATATGAAAACAAGATTAAATTAGCAATAATTAATCATTTTCATACTTAGGCTGATAAAGGGCATAGCCAGAACAGATACATTCCTAGGGAGATCATTTTCAAAATATTTTCAAAGAAGGTGGGACAATTTTGTAATTTGCATCAACAATTTTAAAAATAATTTGCACTTCTAGACCTCCTAAGTGCAGTTCCAGGGATAAATCCAAAGTCCAGCAAATCTAAAGCATGAAAATATTTTAGCAACAACAGATATTCATTGCAGCTTTATATGATAATATTGAAAAAAAATGGAAGCAACCTCAATGCCCACCAGTAGGTCAATAGGTGAGTAAACTAGAGTATGTCTATATGCTTATTCAAAAATAACCCTTGCTGAGTACTTCTTTGCTAGCCACAATGATAGGTGCTTGAAATATAAAAAAGGATAAGCACTAGTAATAGAGACTAATTTGTAATCACTTAAATAATGCTTATGAAAGATTGCAATAAAATACGAGCATATCTTTGATATGCCCCGTGAACAAAGGTGAATCTAAAAATGAATAAATTGGCCAAGCATGGTGGCTCATGCCTGTATTCCAGCACTTTGGGAGGCCAAGGCAGGCAGATTACTTGAGGTCAGCAGTTCAGAACCAGCCTGGCCAACATGAACGGTAAAACCCCGTCTCTACAAAAAAAAAAAAAAAAAAAAAATTAGCCAGGCATGGTGTGGTGTGTGCCTGTAGTCCACCTGGTGTCTCAGCAGAGGATGAGGTGGGTGAATCGCTTAAACCCAGGAGGCAGAGGTTGCAGTGAGCCAAGATCATGCCACTGTACTCCAGCCTGGGTGACAGAGTGAGACCATGTCTCAAAAAAATAAATAAAAATAAAAATAAATAAATTTATGTAAGACAAAATATGTTAACAGAATAATAACAGTGGTTGCCTCTAAGTGGTAAGTTTATAAGTTTATTTTTTCTTCTTTATATTTTTCTCAACTTTCTAAATTTTCTAAATAAATACATTTTGCATTTTCTTTCAGAGCTATTAATCTTAAGAATTGTAAACCTGCCGCAATAGTGCTAGTTTACCTGTTGCAATAGTAAACTGCATTATTGGAATCCAATTCTATTGCCTGTGTGTAACAATCCACTGCAGCAGCATAATTTTCTTCTTTCATGTGGTTATTGCCTAAAATAAAGTAACCAGTATGTACAGTAAGTATAATATTCATTAGAAACATATACTCTAATAGATATATTTTAATCATGAAAACTATAATTATATGAAAGTGAGCCTCATGATTTTTCAGTCACACTGGAGATAAGTTTTATATTGTACTATAGAGTTAATATTATTTAGCTTTCAGTGTGTTTGAATTATTTTAACATTGCAGAGTATTTTAAAAAATTAATGTTTATATACCTTATAAAATCTAGACTTAAAAGAGTAAATGCAACAATTATGACTATCTCATGGCAAAAGTGAATCTCTTCTCACCTTCCTTATCTTCATCTCTCTCCTCCCTTTTAGAGCTGCCCCAGCCCGTTCCAGATGCAACACCCTCCCTAATCACCATCTCAATCTGGACCTGGTCTTCCACTCTTTCCCTGTTAAAACACACATCTGCTGATAATCAAGTTCTCAGAACACTGCTGAGGGTAAGCTGATAAAACTAATCATGCTACCATGATACTGGCAGATTATATTTTTATGTGCTATGCCTTCCAGAGTTATATTCTTTTTAAAAGGGGATTTGAAGAGATTAATTTCTAGAAAGACAGAATTTCAGATACCATGGCTAGCCTGCAAACTACTGAATTTTCAGGAAGGGCATCTGCAGATACATCTGGCAGTAATTTAGCTAAGTTAATAATTGGTCAGCAAAATAAGAGATTTCTATGGCTATTTTTTGTATACCATTAAATGAAAAAAACAGTATCCTCTGTACTTATAAGAACCAATGTTCAAACTATGTCTGGGTGTGGTGGCTCATGCCTGTAATCCCAACACTTTGGGAGTTGAAGACAGGAGGATTACTTGAGGCCAGAAGTTCAAGACCAGCCTGGGCAATATAGTGGGACCCCCGTCTCAACAAAAAGAATAATTAAAAAATTAGCTGGGCACGCCAGGTACAGGTAACAGGAGGCTGAGGCAGGAGTATCATGTGAATTCAGCAGATTGAAGCTGCAGTGAGCTGTGATTGTGCCACTGCACTCCAGCCTGGGTGATAGAGTTAAACCCTGTCTTATGAAAAAATAAAAATAAAAAAAAAGAAAGAAAGAAAAGAAAATATTAGGAACAATGGAGATTAGGAGGAAGGATTTACATCTCAAAGGTATCTGTGATTCTTTCCAGTTTTCTTAAACCAGAAACTCTCACATTAGCCTTGTTCTTAATAGATCATTAGCTGCTTAACAGAAAGAGTGGGGGTAAATTTTCAAGGAACAAAAACAGAATATTCAAGTTACTGTAAATTAGGAATCAAAAATTATATAAAGGGTGACTGCTAATGAACACATGGTTTTCGTTTGGAGGGGGTTATAAAAATGTTCTGTAGGCCGGGTATGATGGCTCACCCTTGTAATCCCAGCACTTTGGGAGGCCAAGGTGGGTGTATGGCTTGAGCCCAGGAATTAGAAACCAGCCTGGGCAACATGGTGAAATCCCATCTCTACAAAAATAAAAATAATAATTAGCCAGGCTGGTGGTGCATGCCTGTAGTCCCAGCTACTCCAGAAGCAAAAGTGGGAAGATAGCTTGAGTCCAGAAGGTTAAGGCTGCAGTGATCTGTGGTCATGTCACTGCATGGTGACCCTGGTTGACAGAGTGAGACCCTGTCTCAAGGAAAAAAAAGTTCTATAATTGATTATGGTAATGGCTCCACAACTCTGTGAATATACTAGAAATTAATGAATTATACACTTTAAAGAAGTAAATTACATATGAATTATATCTCAACAAATATTTTTTGGAGTTAAAAAAATTAACTTAGAGCTTTCCCAAAAAAGAAATCAACATAAAGTCTCTAAGGAAACTGAGAGGATAACATCATTTTTTATGAATAAACAAAAAGTTATCTTAGCCCAGATAGGTTAATTTCCATGTCAAACATTTTAATCTTCTGGGTTATTGAGATTTCAATGATGCTGTTGGGCTCTTTGTGTTGATGGCATGTTATGATTACATTATTAAAACTGCATTATATATCTTTTCTTGTGTCACCTCAAAGGTGTAGATATCATGTGTGTATATATATACATATATGTGTATATATATACATGCACACGCACACACACATATATGTGCCACAAATATTATACACATGTATACTGTAAGTTAATGACAAAGCTATTAAATCACAAAATATTTAACATACAAAACTTCAGGGCTGGGCGCGCAGCTTTGTAGTACAAATCTTGCAGGCCTGACCTGGCTCTCATCTATAGCTTAACATAAGTGACATGATGAAAAAATTGAACACAAATCCTTAACAGTGACTTATTTGTTAAAACCAAGAATGCTTCAATAGCCAACCTGTATAAAATAATGTAGTAATCAAGTGTGCTAGCTAATAGACAAGTCAAGTACCATGTGCCTGCCTTAAATTTCAAAGAACTCAAAAACACTAAACATATGAAAACTAAAATAATGCTGAAAACTATTTTCCTCTTTTCAAGTATAAAGAAGAATTGGGATCCTAGAGTATAAGTAGCAAAAACAGTCAGAAGCAATTAGCCCTTATGATTTGTTCTGCAAGTTTTGCTCACAACAGATCTGCTTCTCTTGAAGCAAGCCATAACTGTACTTCCCACAAGCCATTCTGTACTTCCAGGCTTCGTACTCATCACATTCATTTCTGTTTTGTAAATGCCATGTGCACTTATGGCAATCTAGTCTTGGTGCTGTAAATCAGAACTAAATCAATTCACAATATTTTTCTCCACAGTTTCAGAAAGGTTTACTAAGTAAGTCATTTTTATATGAAATATTCACCTTCATCTTTTAATTGGTCAGCTTTTCCCACATCTTCAGGCACTGAGTTTGAAAGGGGCAGAACATCATTCTGAAATTAAATAAAAATCAATGTACTTCCCTTTAGCTACATAAAGAATCATCCTAGAGTACCATAAAGTAAAAATAAATTACCCACGTTTTTAATCATCCGTAACTCCACATCATGAAATCAAATTCCTAAGTAATAGTATTAACAAAAAATAGGGGAGAGGTCCTCTCATATATTTTTTATTAGAAATATGAATATGTGTGATTGGGCGTGGTAGTTAATGTCTATTATCCCAGCACTTTGGGAGGTTGAGGTGGGTGGACAGCTTGAGCTCAGGAGTTCAAGACCAACCTGGGCAACATGGTAAAACCCCACCTCTACAGAAAACACAAAAATTAACGAGGTATGGTGGCATGTGCCTGCAGACCCAGCTACTTGGGAGGCTGAGGTAAGAGGATGGCTTGAGCCCAGGAGGCAGAGGTTGCAGTGAGCTAAGATCATGCCATTGTACTCTAGCCTGGGCAACAGACCCTGTCTCAAAAACAAACAAAAAAAAGAATATGTGAAATTTTTCTAGAGAATAATACACAGCTGTGAATCAAACTTTAAAAAAAAAAAAGTGCATTTCCCATATCCAGCAATCCTACTTCACAAATAAAAAAAAAATAGAATCAGTTATGTAAAGAATAGGAATATAAATATGATCAAGGGATTGTTTATATTAGTGAAAATTTTGGAACAAAAAGTCTAATATCCTATCTAAGATAAACCCTACTAAGTCAAAATCATAGTCTACAAAAAATCATTTATAATATCATTTAAATATGTTCACACACACATTAAAAAACAGACTGGAAAGGCGTGTATCAGAAGTAAAATTTTCATCTCTTCTATCTTTCCATAGTGTCCAGTTGTGTTTTTTGGGTTTTGTTTTTTTTGTTTTGTTTTGTTTTGAGACAGAGTTTCACTCTTTCGCTAGGCTGGAGTGCAGTGGATCTCGGCACACTGCAACCTCCGCCTCTCAGGTTCAAGCAATTCCCCTCCTCAGCCTCCTGAGTAGCTAGGACTACAGGTGCGCACCACCACACCCATCTGATTTTTGTATTTTCAGCAGAGATGAGGTTTCACCATGTTGGCCAGGATGGTCTCAATCTCTTGACCTCGTGATCTGCCTGCCTCAGTCTCCCAAAGTGCTGGGATTGCAGGCATGAGCCACCGTGCCTGGCCTCAAATTTTTTAAAACAATGAACATATATTAATTTCACTACAAGATAAGAAAACACTATAAAATCCCTGCCTTTACACCTACTATCATTCCAAAACCTCTTTTCCATAAATTAAGTTCAAACTAAAGGGGCTTATGAAAACCAAATGTTAAGATTCAGAAAAATCTTGAATGGCATGGGGAACACAACATATTTTTTCATTTTTGAAAAATCTTTTTAAAATTGTATTGCTTTTAAACTGATTTATGACTCTGAGTTCATAAATCAGTCTTTTTTTATTTTTCGAGACAGAGTCTCACTCCATCCCCAGGCTGGCGTGCAGTGGCACAATCTCGGTTCACTGCAATCTCTGCCTCCCAGCAGTTCAAGCAATTCTCCTGCCTCAGCCTCCCAAGCAACTGGGACTACAGGCACATGCCACCATGCCCAGCGAACTTTAGTATTTTCAGTAGGAATGGGGTTTCACCATTTTGGCCAGGATGGTCTCAATCTCCGGACCACGTGATCCACCCACCTCAGTCTCCCAAAGTGCTGGGGTTACAGGTGTGAGCCACCGTGTGTGGCCTCATTTTTTTTATAATTTGTAGCCATTGGCCTATGTAAAATTTTTTTAAATTATATATATATATATATATTGTTGTTGCTGTTTGTTCATTTTTGAGACAGGGTGTCACTCTGTCACCCAGGCTGGAGTACAGTGGTGTGATCATGGCTCACTGCAACCTCAACCTCCAGAGCCCAAGTGATCCTTTCACCTCAACCTCCAGAGTGGCTAGGACTACAGATATATGCCACTATACCTGTGTAATTTTTTTTATTTTTTGTAGAGAGAGTTCTCCCCATGTTGTTCATGCTGGTCTTGAATTCTCAGCTTAAGCAATCCTTTTGCTTTTGCCTCCCAAAGTGCTGGGGTTATAGGCATGAGCTACCACGTTCAGCACTATGTACTGTATTTAAACTATATCCATCATTATCTTTGTCTTAGAGTTTCCACAAAATTGATAGCTCTAACATCAGAAATATATTTTGAAAATTAGACATAAATATTCACAAGTACAAAATCACCGACATAGTGTATGGGTCTTGTCCTTACTTTTTTAATCATTATCTACTAATCAGTTTTCCTAAACATAAATATTGGGATAAAAATATAGAAACAAAATGAAAACCTTCCTAAGTAGAGGTCACTACTTAAAACTGACTATAGTTATTCAGAATCTAAATATAATTCAAAGACCCATTACCGTCCTACAGTACTTGACTTTAGGATTTGTAGTTTAAATCTTCCAATAAGCCTAGGCAGTTTATACATGGGAAAAAGTGATTTAGGGGATCAGAAAAATAGCAATTGAAAAATAGATTATAATCTCTTCTGTCTTCCAAATTCACTGCATAAATTTGAGTTCACCATGTGGGGGCAAGAGCTACCTACTTTAAATAAACAGAATGAATCCACTTTATATATAAATTTAATTGGGGAAAAAAAACAGAACAGCAGTATTCTAAAAATAAAATGCCCAATATCACAACTAAGTACACTTGGTGAGACAAATAATTTCTTTAATTACAATAATCTTGATGCTATTTCAGATGAATTTTACACTTTCTCTGCCATACTCTGTTAACAAATACAGAGTAAAGCCATAGCTGTAAAATAAGACTACTAAAGAATTATGATACCAAATATATCACAACTGCAGCTATACGATGCAGCCAGTTTCAATAAACTATATTTTAACAATAGTGAGCAACAAATTTCTTATAATTAAATGCAATTGGGGAGATATAGCCAAAAAAAAGAAAAAGCTTCATTCAAAATCAAAAGAGTATAAAAGTCAATTAAAGCTTCCTGAGAAGAAAAAAAAAGTTCTAATATCTTTAGTACTAAGTCAATGGTGACAGTAACTAAAGAGTGAGCAAATCTAAGAACTGCCTCAAGCAGGGGCCTCGTACACCTGAGAGCAAAGAAGGTCTGCTTTAGCCATAACCATATCTAGCCGCTCAAACAGGGTTCCCTGGGGGAGTTGCAGGCCCAAACAATCAAAGAACCACAGGCCACCTTCACCAAAGGGAAGAAAAAAGGAGTTCCCCAATGAGGAACAGAGATAAATTCACTAACTCCTTATATCTTGTCATATAGTAAGTATTCATCTGTTTGATGAGTTAATGTATAACTGCTTTATTTTTTTCTAAAGCATAAAAAAAAGAATGGTTTACTGCCAGGTTGCCATCTTCATTGCAATTCTAACAACCTCTTCCCAAGAAGTTCTAGAAACAGAGCCTGGAGGATCCAGCCAAGTGTGGTATTGTCAGCAATGTCCACTCCAGACTGAAGTGTGCAAGGTATGTTTCAGCCTCATTACAGAATTCTTCATTATATACTAAAGCTCAAATATGGAGCTAGAAAAACAAAAGGAGCCCATGAGGCACCAAAATGTCATGAAGAAACATGTGGGGCCACATGTGGTGGTTTAGGCCTATAATCTGAGCACTTTGGGAGGCCAAGGTAGGACAATGGCTTGAGCTCAAAAGTTCAAGACCAGCCTAGGGAACAAAGCACACAAAGCAAGACCCTGTCACTACTAAAAAAAAAAAATATATATATATATATATATAAACTGGGTGCTTTGGTGTGTGCTTGGAGTCCCAGATACTCGTAAGTCTAAGGTGGGAGAATTGAGAACTGCTTTGAGCCCAGGAGGTTGAGGCTGCTAATGAGCCATGATCACACCACTAGCCTCCAAGCTGGGTGACAGAGTGAGACCTGCCTCAGAAAAAAAGAAAGAAACAGGCGGGAGGTCACTCACATGTGGGAACCCTGCACTCACTAACCTTAGCATTTTTCAGACAGTCGTATGGTCTGTTTCCCGAAAAGGACAGAAACCCTTTAGACCATGTATAAACAGTCCCCAGGAGCAGTGATCAGAAAACTTGGATTTCAGTCTTAGCTTTGTACATTGACCCTTAACCTTTCCCTGTTTTACGGAGCCCCATCAATGGGCACATTTGATGTAATCTGCTTCAGAAATGATGATTCAATTCCAGAGGAATCTATTTCTGCCTGGCTGCTTTCTAGACATTAAAACTTTTTAAACCTATGTTCCACGTTTTAGGGAAATATCAATTCAGAGGCTGGAAATCAAAAAGTACTCAGTTTATTGAAATGACATTCAAGAAAAAAATACTCAGATACTATAAAGAACTTAAAAGTTGACTAATACATATCATTAAATATAAAAGAAGGTGTGAGGATGAAAATAGTTATCAATATGAAAATCTAAAGCACATTAAATGAGTTATCCCCAATTATATCCATATAGACAGACCTTACACATAGGAAGAAGTTAATTACTCATATATTTGGCCCCTCAACTATTAACAACCTATTAACATAAAATTATAGTCATATTTATATCAGTTAATAATGAGAAAATAATGACAACATACCTTACAGAAGGAATTGGTAAACATTTCTGTCAAAGGCTGTGAAACTGCTAGGTGTGTATCTTCTGAGCTGACCTTAAAAACCGTCTCCAAGCACTGAATTGCAACTTGAAATAAATTTAATAGTAAAAAACAATTAGCAACTTTAAAAAAGAAACAAGTTTTTTTTCTGATAGAACTGCAATGTATGGAAATTCAGTATTTATGATCACAGAACATAAGGAAAACATTGGTTCAGCTGCAAAGAAATTTCTGTTTATAGACCAGCTATTGAAGGAAAATGCACTGATTTTCTTTCCTTCCTCCCCATTCCACTTCCCCTTCCTTCCTTTCTTCCTTCCTAATTTTTTTTAGAGACAAGATTTCACTTTGTGGCCAGGCTGGAGTGCAGTGACACAATTATAGCTCACTGTTGCCTTGACTTCCTGGGCCCAAGGGATTCCCCCGCCTCAGCTCCCTTAGTAACACACTACAGGCATGAGCTACATGCTAACTTTTAAAATGTTTTGCAGAGACAGGGTCTTGCCAGGTTGCCCAGGCTGGTCTCAAACTCCTGGGCTCAAGTGATCCCCTGCTTCAGCCTCCCAAAGGAGTGGTTATTGATGACTTGCTCTTTCTTTCTGGCAGCCTTCAACAAGAATAGGGTGTAATACATATATTGAGAAATTATATTCTAGATAACATTTTTCCTTAAGTGAGGAATAAAAAATCAAGTTGTTGCCAGGTGTAGTGGCTCATGCCTATAATCCCAGCACTTTGGGAGGCTGAGTGAGCTATAATTGTTTTCCTTATATTCTGTAATCATAAATACTGAATTTATGGTGCCTTCTGGGTCAAGCTATTCCCCTGCCTCAGCCTGCTGAGTAGCTGGGATTACAGATGTGTGCCACCACGCCCATATAACTTTTGTATTTTTGGTAGAGAAAGAGTTTCACCATGTTGGCCAGGCTGGTCTCAAACTCCCAACCTCTGGTGATCCACCCACCTCAGCCTCCCAAAGTGCTGGGAATGCAGGGATGAGCCACCATGCCCAGCCCATAGCTGCAGGTTTAACAGAGAGTTCAGGGTAGGCCTTACTGAGAAAAGAGTTTTAACAAAGACTTGAAGGAGACGGGAGTGCTACCATTATCTGTGAAGACCATTCCAGGCAGAAGAACTAGCCAGAGCAAAAGCCCTTAGGCAAGAGGATATGGTGCATTTATAAAGAGAAAGCTAATATGATTGAAGCCAAAGAAGAAATGGGAAGAGTAGGTGAACAATATGTCACAGAAGTCAAATTATATAGATCCTTTAAACACTGAGTAAGCAACATGAGAAGTCATGATACTAAGTCATGTTTTGAGTAGATAAATGATAGAATCTGACACACTCTGTTCTTAAAGATCACCGGTGCCTGTTTGGAACAGCCAATGGAGGGGCAAGAATAGAAGCAGAGAGACCAGTTAGAGGCTGTCACACGAAAACAGTCAAGAAACAGTTCTATCCAGAGGTGATATCAGTGGAGTTGGTAAAAGATGTCAGACTCAAGACATATTTTGTAAGTGTAGCCAACAGGATTTATTGAGTAATTGGTTATAGAGTATTAGAGAAAGAGAAGAGTCCAGAATGATACCCAAGTTGCTGGACTGAGCAACAGAAAAGAGGAAGCTGACATAAACAGAAATAGGGAAATTGCAAATAGAACAGATTTTGGGTGGGGGAATCAGAAGTTCGATTTTGGCAATGTTAAATTGGAGATGCCTATTAGACATGCAAGTGGAGATATCTAGTAGGTACTTGGATATGTACAAAGACCTTCAGAAGAAAGGTCTGGGCTGGGGGCATACATTTGGGAAACAGCATATAAATAAGGGGTATTCAAGGCTAAGAAGCTGAATGATACCACCAAAGAAATAGGTAAAGATAATGAAGAGAAGAGATCAAGCAGTGGACCCTGGGCATTCCAGGTCAGAGAAAAGAAGAGGAACCAGCAAAGAGGACAGAGAAGCAGCAAACAATCAGATAAGAAAGCCAAGAAAGTATGAGGTATCCTGGAAGCTAAGTGAATAAAACATACCTGGATTGGGGAAGGGGCAGTGAGGAAGTGACCATCAATATTATCAGTTGCAACGAATAACTCAGATGAAAGCTGAGAACTGACCATAAATTAAACAACACAGAAATCACTAATGACCTTGATGAAAGCGGTATAGATTGAGAGATAGAAGCAAAGGCTTAATCGGAACGGGTTTAAGAAAGAATAGAAGGAGAGGGTTAGAGAAAGCCAAGTATGGACAATTCTTTCAAATGGTTTTGCTGCAAAGAGAGACAAACAATTAAGCAGTAATGGGTTGGGGGTAGTATGGCAAGAATAACTATTTGCTGTTTGTTTTTGCTTTTTTGAAGAAGGGAGAAATAATAAGTTCATATGATGATGGAAATGATCCAGTAGAGTATGAAAATGTTATAATATAAAATGAAAAAAACAAAATAACTAGAGTGATATCCTGTAGTAGGTGAGACAGGATGGGATCTAGTACAGCAGTAGAGGGGTTCCATTGAGAAAAGAACATGAATAGTTCATCTATGGTGATAGCTAGTCAAACAGGCAGGCAGGCAGAGTATGTTGGTGCTGCCACACCCAGCTATTTTCTTATTATTTCCATTTTCTTGGTGAAATAGAAAGCAAGGTAATCAACTAAAAGTGAGGAAAGTGGAGGAGGTTTGAGAGTTTGAAAAGATATGAGAAAGTGTTAAAATGGTCATCTAGGAAAATAAATGTATGAATGAACTTGGAACAGACAGTGTGATTGCCAGACAACATTAAAGGTCTGCTTTAAGTTCACAGTCATGAATTTAAAGTGGGACTAGTCAGCCAAGTTGTGTGTTTTGCTCCATTTATATATGGCTACAAGAGTGGGTGTGAGTAGGTGGATACAGAGCAAGTGGAGAGTTGGATTTAAACGAAGTTGGGTTTTGCAAGAAAGGGAAGGAGATACAAAGAAATGATTATAATGATCCACCATGGAATTTAGGAGAAGTAAGAATAGATGGGGGAAAAGGTGAGGGATGAACAGATTGCAGGTATTGGTTGGGTCAAGGAATTGCTGGAGTAGAGATTCTAGAGGGAATGAGCCTGGAAAGACGCAATAGTGATCAGTAAGTGAAATGTTTGGGATAGATGAGGGAAGGAATGCAATTCTGATAATGATTAGGTCTCGGGAAGGCTTTCTCAATCTCTGCACACTGACATGTTAGATCAGGTAATTTCTTCTTGTCAGGGCTGTCCTGTGCATTAGCAGCATCCATGGCCTCTACTGATTCACTAGATGCCAATAATAGCAGCCACCCCCCTCACCCAGTTGGTGACAATCAGAATGTATCCAGCTATTGCATAATCACCCCTGAGTTGAGAACACTGATCTAGGATATGATCAAGTGTTTGAGATCACTGGATGAGGTCAAGAACTGAGAGCCAGAGAACTAAAAGAATCATCTATCAGTATATTGCAATTGCCAAGATCTAAATAGAAGTAGTGCTAGAGAGAGTGACAGTGAGCAGGAACCACAGTTAGTCAAGAAATGAAGCAAATGTCAGTAGACGCCAATTTTTTTTTTTGAGAGAGAGAGTCTCTCTCTTGCCCAGATTGAAGTGCAGTGGCACGATCTCAGCTCACTGCAACCTCTGCCTGCCTCCTAGGTTCAAGTGATTCTCCTGCCTCAGCCTCCTAAGTAGCTAAGACTATGGGCGTTTGCCACCATGCCCAGCTAATTTTTGTATTTTTAGTATAGATAGGGTTTCACTATGTTGGCCAGGATGGTCTCAATCTCTTGACCTTGTGATCCGGCCTGCCTCTGCCTCCCAAAGTGCTAATAGGAGTGGGTGACATATCTGATGGCAAGACAAAGCTGATAATACATTCTTCACAGTAGTGGTAAAGCTGGTATTAGAACTGAGGCTTCTTTCCTAAGTTTTTAAAAAATGTCTAGAAGGTGGGCAGACACCTCCACATGATTTCATGTTCAATTAAATTAGACTCACAGAGTCAAAAATAGGGGTCAGTCAAAAACAATTGGCACCCTTTCTGACTGCCATATATAACAAACAGCTGAAGGCACATATTTTTGGCTGAATACCATCCTAAAAATAGGGCATAACATCTTGGTTTTTTAAAAAAAAAAACTCTCAGTTTTCTTTCTGGCCCTTAAAAGTTTTATGCTGCCTTTGATTAGAAAAGAAACATCTTTTCTTAAATGACTACATTTATCGGTTTGCTACAGAGCTATCATAACTAACATTCCCCTTAGATAACCAATCAACTTTATCTTCACAGAGTCTAACCATCAAGGAGAACAAAAAAGACCTTAATATTAAATGGACTGATTGTAATGTTCTCCAACTGTGCGTGACCTGCTCCTCTCACTGCCACCTGGAAAGACATCATCTAGCCAGACTGCAAGCAGATTTAGAGCAAATGCCCAATTTTCATCTCTACCTCCTAAAAGCATATTCACAGGGAAGTGCTTGCTGAAATTAATAGATGTGTCCTCTTTATAGGAGAAGTAGCTTCAAGATGGAAAATTTAAACTGTACTGTTATTTATTAAGTTCTTCCAAATGCACTTCATTGCAGTAATTAACACTTTAGGGCTGGGAGGGGTGACTCACGCCTGTAATCCCAGTACTTTGGGAGGCCAAGGTGAGTAGATCGCTTGAGCCCAGAGTTCGAGACCAGCCTGGGCAACATAGTGAAACCCTGTCTCTATAAAAAATATAAAACTTAGCCGGGCATGGTGGTGTGCTCCTGTAGTCCCAGCTACTTGGGAGGCTAAGGTGGGAGGATCGCTTGAGCCCAGCAGGTGGAGGTTGCAGTGAGCTGAGATCATGCCACTACACTCCAGCCTGGGTGACAGAGCCAGACAGAGTCTCAAAAATAAATAAATAAACAAATAATAGACTTTAGGCCACAGAGACACCAGATTCACTGAACCTCCACAAGCCCATCTGTAGAATTCTACCTTGTTATGGTTGTACTGAATTTAAATTTAATAATACATAAACATGAAGAACAAAGATGGTGTCAAGGAAACACATGATGCTATCATCCATGTCCTGTTCAACTTTACAGATCACTGAATGCAATACTTAAAGTTAATGTAAAACACAGGTGAAATGCTCTCATTTCAAGTTCCAAATTAGGTGCTGGTCAGATCTCACTAGTGGTATAATTATTAGACTTTTACATGGTGCTATTACAATGACTCAGGTATTTTCATATATTATTTCTAAACTGGATGCTTTCCTATTAGGAAATGGAGACAACAAGATCTTCAGAGTAAGAACCAGGATTTAAATCTCAGCGTTGTCACATATCAGCTGTGTTATGTTATGCTATTTGACTTCATTTTTTCTTTTCTTTTTTTTTTTTTTTTTGAGACAGGGTCTCCCTTGTGGCCCAGGCTGGAGTACAGTGGTGTGATCTCAGCTCACTGCAGTCTCTGCCTCCCGGGTTCAAGACATTCTCCTGTCTTAGCCTCCCGAATAGCTGGGACTATAGGCAAGTGCTGCCATGCCTGGCTACTTTTAGTATTTTTAGTAGAGACAGGGTTTTCCATGTTGCCCAGCCTGGTCTTGAACTCCTGACCCTAAATGATTCACCCACTTTGGCCTCCCAAAGTGCTGGGATTACGGGCATGAGCCACCAAGCCTGGCCCTGGTTTCATTTTCTCACTTGTTAAATGGGGGTAATACTAACATAACAGTTGCTGTGAAGAAAAAATTGCCATAATATGAACAGCATACTTCTGCTATATGGTATTTGTTCAATAAATGAATCCTCTTAATTTGTTATTAATGAAAATAAAACAAGCTTCAGAAAACAGAAATATGATAACCTTATAGTTAGGCCTGCCTCGAAAAATCAAGAAAGTATTCTGATTTTGTTACAATGAATCATCAAGTTGGGCTTACAGCTATTTCTGTCTTCATTTATAATTATAATATAAATGCACATAAAGAGCAGATGCCTACCTTCCAAACTTTCTTGTTCATCTGAGGTGTAAGTATCCATCTGACTTTGTTCCCGTAAGAAACGAATAACTGCATAAACCAGGTGCTTGACAGATGACATTTTAGAAGCTTAAACACTTTTCCTTGATAAGAAAAATGAAAACACTGAACTAAGTTAATTTTAAGGAATCGGTCAGGGAAGTCATAAATTACAAAGATTATATGGGTTATAAACTGCATTAAAGGTGAAAAAACACAAAACTGTATGACCTCTCATCTTTTCTCTTTTTAAAGAGTCAGCAGAACACGAAGTACTGTGAAGGTAATTTATTACATATTTTCATTAATACCCAGTGGTATATGAGTATGTTAAATCTTACAATAAGTAAAAATGTCTTCAAAACATGTACAGAATAAGCTTAGAGTGTCACTGAATGTCTCACCATAGAGAAATCCCCTAAAGGCCTCAGTACTAAGTTGAGAAGCATTTCATACGGTTGACTAGAAGCTGATTTACAACAAGCATCTTCCTCTATTTCCTGGGATCTAAAAAATGTATTAATAATGTACACTCTACCTACTTTAGTAGGTTGAGAGTTATTTGACGAGGAAATACATTCGCAAAAGGTTGTTCAACCGGTGAGTGTCGTTCTTAATAGAAATGGCATTTCTATTTAATCAGCAGACATGTCAGGAAATCGCTGCCCAAGTCAATGGATACTACAAGCCGACTGGCGCTCCCTGCAGAAGCTGTGCTCTCGTGGACAATCTGGAAGCTCCCGGTCATGTTCATTCACATGGAATACTATCGCATCCAAACAGTGGCGCAGGGCCAGCCGGCATTCATGGCTTATTTCCACTAAATGGCATCATCCATCTGCTCCCCAGGTTCCCTAACTCAAAGCCAGGGTGTGGTACCCAACGCTATAATGTTTATTATTTGTGTGCTTATATTAAAGGCGATGTCAGCCTCTAGGCCACGGGGTTACAAGCACTAAATTAAGGCCCCTGGGCAGAAGGTGAAAATAGAATGGGGGGTAAAAGGGGTGCGAAGAGGGAAAGAGATGCCCAGCCTCCTCCAGTCTTCTCTCCCTTCCTCTCCCCAGAGCGCATCGAGCTCCCTCCATCCCGTCCTCCCTCGGGTACCCAGTCTCGCTTCGGCCCTGCCCGGAGTGCAGCGGGGCCCGGTACGGGCCTCGGTCCGGGACAGCGGGAGGCGCACCCTTGCCAGCGAAGCCCCCTTACCAAGCAGAAGGATTTGAGACGACGGCTGAGGTCCCGTGGGGTTCCGTAGACCGACCCGCCTGACCCCTGGTCCTCGGGGCTGGAGCCCGGCTCGGTATCGCAGCACTAGCAGCGGCGAGCAAACTTCCCCGGCCCCCACACCGCCCCCAGAGCCCACCCGGCTATGCTCTAGCTCCGGCGGCGGGGTCTGGCCAGCACCGCCTCTGGGGCGGGGCCGGACGCGTGAGCCGGGGAGGGGCGCGGCGCGGGGCGGGGCCGGTGGGCGCTGGCGTGGGGCTGCCGCACGTGGGAGGGTGCTGGCGGGGCCGCCACTGCCGCTGTGGCCTCTGCAGCTAGGCCGACTCGTGACTCCCGGGAGCCCCGGCGCTGCCGCCCGCCTCCCCGCCCTGCGCCGAAGGACCACGCGCCCGCCGCCGCCAGCCTCTCGGCCCTCCCATGATCGCCCTGTGCCTCTCGGCTGTGCGAAGCCTCCGCAGGTACCTCCAGTGCGCGGGTTAACCTGGGCCATGGGCAGGGCGGGGTCTTCCGCCGGGTGGTGCTGGGCGCCCCGACCCATCCCTTCCCGGCCGCGCCGCTCGGACGCTCCTGGGACGCACCCTCCCGGCGGCTGGCAATGGGGACCCCGGGGGGGACACCTGTCGCGGCCACCTGGGGCCACCTTTCCCGCCTCCGCTCCCTCGGGAGGGCGTCCATTCCCCTTTGTTTGGGACTGCCTCAGCCGCAGTCAGTGAGGCTGGTCACGGACGCGGCCCAAAATGAACGCGGATAGTCTGCCTAAGAAAATCATATCACGTTTGCCCTCCATGCTGAACTGCAGACCTGTCATTAAAAGTGCCGCAGCTGTGGACTCAGAACAATTTCGTTTGCCCCTCGGGCCCATCATTAGCATTCCAGTCGTTTACATCCACCCCAGAGGAAACCTCTTTGGTTTTGTTGCTTATTTCCGTCCATGCTCTCTAACTTCCTTTTTATTTTCCTCGTCCCCATAAAACAAACATTCTGCCTCTTGCCGGGGCAAATTGACTTGGCCCAAAATGGAGAAAATGATTGCTCGGACACTGCTTTGGGCAGCCTGAGCTGCTGCTTTGGATTGCTTCCTAGCCCTCTAACCACACCCCACTGCAAGAGACCAGTAGCAAGATGGTGAGGGTATTAAATTCTTTGCACGGTTGCGCTGGATTTTGGAAACAATGCGGCCGCTATCCCCGTTTCCAAATCTGCCCCGAACTGTAAATCCAAATGAAGATTCAACAGAAAAAAGGAAACGTGCGCTTCTTGTTAGTGATCAACAAAACTACTTTCTAACATGTCAGCATTTGAGCTTTCTACAGTTCCTTCTTACACATTACCACTCATCTGTGTGGGAGCTTTGTGTTGCTCAGTGCATAGAGTTAGGGCGCAGGCAGGCGACAGTTGTAATTACTGTAATTACAAAGAGTTAATGTGATGATTTGTGACCATATTTCAGCCTGTCGTTTTTTGCTAGTCTCCAGGCTGCAAGCGATATTGCTGTCAAATGAAGCTATACTAAGAAATGAAGATCTTCACATAATGCAGGTGTGAGAAGAGGAAATAAATCTTCATATAAGAGCAATTCTCAAACTTTAAGTCTCAGGACCCCTTTTACCTCTCAAAAATTACTGAGGACCTAAGAGCTTCTGTCTGTATGGTATATCTGTCCATATTTACCATATTAGACATTAAAGCTGGAAAAATTTTAAAGTAGTTGCTAATTTATGAAACAGTAATAAATGGGCTACATGTATAAATAATGTTTTTAATGAAAAATAATTATTTCAAAACCATACCCCCCCATCAGTGAGAAGAGTACCATTGTGGGATTTTTTTTGTCTTTTTCAAATTGTGGTAAGCTATAACAAAATTTACCATTTTAATAATTTTTAAGTGTACAATTTCAAGTGTACAATTCAGAGGTACAGCCAACACCACTGTCCATCTCCAGAACTTTGTCATCATCCCAAACTGAAACCCTGTACCTATTACACAATAACTGCCCATTACCTCCTCTCTCAAGCCCTGGTTAACCATTATTTTTTCTCTATGAATTTGACTATTTCAGGTCCCTTATATAAGTGGAATTATACAACATTTGTCCTTTGCGTCTGGTTTATTTAGTATAGCATTTTTAAGGCTCGTTCGTGTTCTAGCATGTGTCAGGATTTCCTTTTTAAAACTGAATAATATTTCATTTATGTATATACCACATTTTGTTTAATTTGTCAGTGGGCATTTGGGTTGCTTCCACCTTTTAACTATTGTGAATACTACTACTATGATTATTAATGTGCACATATCTGTTTGAATCCCTGCTTTTAATTCTTTGGGATACTGTATATACCTAAAAGTGAAAATTGCTGAGTCATAGGATAGTATTACATTTAGTTTTTGAAACCATACTGTTTTCTTCAGTGGCTGTGCCAGTTTTACATTCCCGTTGACAATACACAATGATTCCAGTATCTCCACATGGTCATCAGCAATTATTTCTTGGTTTTGATAACAGTCATCCTAGGAGTGGCATGGTTTTGCATTTTTGCAAAACGAATGTGTGACATAATAGAAGGTAACTGGATTCTTAACGTCTGCTTCTCCATTTAATCTGCTGCACTGTTTCATTTTGGTTTAAGAAGATGAAGAAAATCCCACCTCACAATCATGTGAAGTTGGAAAGAAGAAAATTTTAATAGCTTTTTAAAGATAATCATGGATTTTCTTTGATATCACATCAAAGTTTGACAAATGGTAGCTTAAGGGTTAGTTACAAAGTAGAATCTGACACTGTATCTGTACTTTTTTCACACTGTTAGATTAATATCCATTGGTTGTACCTTTACTTTGAATGGATTTTTATCCACACCTGATTTTTTAAACATTAAGCATAAGTCCTTTGGAAATTTTAGTGGTCCACTGTTACACAGTTCTTCCTCATGCTGACGTATTTCATTATACAGTATCAAACAATCACTTTCCTTAATGTATTTCCTTCAAGTATTGGGAAGCTATCAAGCTCACAGTGGCAGATAGGATTTTCCAAAATTCTAGTTTTCACTTGAAAGCTAGAATTATGTCATTGGCAACACAAACTGTCAGTTGTTTTACTCGAAGTGACAATCTCACTTTGTTACATTTTTGACAGAATTTCTGCCACATACTTAAGTCTTAATAACCCTGGTTTGTCTGTCATTAGTTTTTTTCTGGCAAAATGGTGTTCAATGAAAAAACGATTTCAGCTCAAGGTTCAATCAGTTGCACAAGTGCTTTTGATTTGGGCAACCAAATCCTCTGGACAACTCTTATACTCAGGTACACAGCAGAAATGCTTTGTGTGTTCTTGGGCACATAAAACTCAAGGGTAGATATTTAATAAAATGCATGCTTTTTACCATTTCATTATGGATATTCTAAAATGAAATTGGCATTATTTTTAGCTTAAGTACATGGCAATGAAAAATACAGCTACTAGTACAGTTTGGTACTATTGCCTCAATTTGTGCTAAAGTACCAACAATGTTATCCACCATTGCTTTTCATCATCAGTGCAAATTTTCACAAAGTAAAAAGGATAATGTCTTAATATTATTATGAAAGATTTTTAACCTCACACACTCTTCGAAAGGGTCTCAGTAACCTCTCCCCATACCTCTACCTTTAAGGTTTGTGGACTACATTTTGAGAACTGCTGATCTGTGGTATTAGATTCTTTGTTTATGCATGGAAGAAAATAAATATACTAATAGCCAAAAAATTATTACCTTGTTAGAAGCTACCATAAATATATTAACAATATTGTTACATAAGGGTATATCTTGCAGTTAATCATGTAGTCCTTAACACAGGGCTTCCATGACTTAATCCCAGCATCTGCTCTGTTTTAAAATCAGTATCTCTAAAAGAGTTCATATTAAACAACATGGAGGACCCTCTGTTTTTCCTGTTTTCTCTGACACTTAGGAATTTATTTGAGTGTTATGGGAGTAACTAGGCTTTTGCCATAATTTCCTTTGGGTTTTCTTGTTGGCAGAGCTGCTATATTGGCTTCCCAAGGCCAGCTTGGCAGCCAGGATCATTGATGGGGGTGTTCAGCCAATTTCTTGGGAGTAAGTGGACTGAGAATCTGGAGTTTGGATTATAGTTGCTGTCCAATTCACTTTGTGATATTAAAAAAAAATCATACCCTTAGACCTCTTTCAAGTTACTTATATATGTATGTATGAATGAATTAATGTATTTATTTTAGAGACAGGGTCTCACTCTGTCATCCAGGCTGAAGTGCAGTGGGGCATGATCATGGCTCACTGCAGTCTCAAACTCTGATTTCAAATGATCCTCCCCACCTTAACCTCCTGAGTAGCTGGGACTGTAGGTGCTCACCACCATGCCCAGATAGTTTAAAAAAATTGTTTGTAGAGATAGGATCTTGCTATGTTGCCGAGGCTGGTCTAGAATTCCTGGCCTCAGGTGATCCTCCCATCTCAGCCTCTAAAAGTGCTGGGATTACAGGTGTGTGCCATCATGCCTGGCCCAGGTTTCTTATATTGTAAGATGAAAAAAACTAGTTTAAATAATATCTCAGGCTTAAAAAAAAAAAAACAAAAACCAACAACTATCTTGCCATGGCAAACCAGGAGAATTCCTCTTCCTACTTCAGTCGGATTACACAGCATGTGAGCAAAGCAAAGTCTAATGTATACTATAGAACATAAGGATGAGTGACATGGTCAAATAAACAAGCAAGAAGGTTGACTCAACAATATTTAGCTGAAACAATAGCTGTAGTAGCCTAGTTTCTTCTTTCAATTAAAAAAGACAGCTTGGTTTGTTTTTTGGTTTTTGTTTTTTTAAGACAGAGTCTCATTCTGTCGCCCAGGCTGGGATGCAGTGGCACAATCTCAGCCTACTGCAACATCTCTGTCTCCCGGGTTCAAACAATTATCCTGCCTCAGGCTCCCAAGTGGCTGGGATTACAGGTGCCCACCACCACACCTGACTAATTTTTTTGTATTTTTAGTGAAGGTGGGGTTTCACCATGTTGGCCTGGCTGGTCTTAAACTCCTGATCTCAAGTGATCTGCTCACCTCAGCCTCCCAAAGTGCTGGTATTATAAGCCCGAGCCACTGCACCTGGCCTAAAAAAGAGTTTGGTTTTATTTAAATGATGACAGCAATGCACGTTCATTATTGAAAATTTTGCAAATAATGACAAGCAAAAGAAAATATTAAACGTTACATAATCCATCCATCCAGAATAGCCAATTGTTAACAGCTTTCAAAATTTCTTCTATGACCAGACTTTTTTTTTTTTTTGAGACGGAGTTTTGCTCTTGTTACTCAGGCTGGAGTGCAAAGGCGCGATCTCGGCTCACCGCAACCTCCGCCTCCTGGGTTCAGGCAATTCTCCTGCCTCAGCCTCCTGAGTAGCTGGGATTACAGGCACGCGCCACCATGCCCAGCTAATT